AAGAGTGCAAATAGAGAGAAATTACTGGATAGCATTTACTGCTGTCATTACCCAGATCATCTAGGACCTAATGTTGTAGATTATGATAAGGAGTCTGGATTTTATCTCTGCATAATGAGAAACCATTGGAAGATTTTAAACTAGAGTGCCATGGTCTGATTTAGGAAGATGGCAGGTTGCTGGGTTGAGAAGGGAAGCTCTGTAAAAGCAGTGATTTTGTCTGTTTTGTTCATTACTGTATCCCGATGCCCAAAACAGTTTAGAGTGTATAGCCATTAGATGTTGAATGAATGGCTGAATGAATACACTGTAGGAGGCAAGAACAATTGAGGATTATTGTGGGAATCCAGGTGAGAGATGGTGGCCTAAACTAATATTTTCTTGGTAGACATGGTGATATATTTACATATTTAGAATTGGGAGGTAGAATTTCCAGGACTTACTGACTTGATTGGATGTGGCATGTGAAAAAGGATTGAGGAAGACTTTCTGGTGTTGACCATAGCAACTATTGATAAGGTTGTTGATATTGGTGGGTAGTAGATTTTTCAAATTTGTAGGTGTGTAGTGATTGTGGCAGTTTATAAATAGCAGTTACACAAAAGCAGATTAGGTACTTGTGCTAACGTTCTTGTTCTCCTGCTCTGTTTCTCCCTAACCCGATTCTCAGTGAAGATTTTTTCAAATACTGTTCTATAATGTGTTCTCTCATACTCAGTTGCAAGTATATGGAGCTGACTTGAGTTCTACAAAAAATCAGTGAAGCTCCATAGTTGCCGGACTTGGCACTGCCATTTTTGTAAGCTACAGTGGTTAAGGCCCATAAACTACTTTGTCTTTTCTAGGAGTCACGTTTCTTTTTTTTTTAAAGTTTATTCCTTTTTGCTTGGTGTTACTATTAACCATCATTGATCTGAAGTAGTCTGGCATTGTTGTTAAGAGTGGTTTCTGAAGCCAAAATGCCTCACCAGTGTTACACTGTCTTAATTATTTTGGCATTAAAATAGGTCTTGATATCTGATAAGGTAAGTCACCACACCATGATGGTATTTTTTACCCCTTCTTCCCAAAATGTGTTGCTTCTGGACTTTTTGTTCTACCAGGTAATTTTCAGAAATGGCTTGTCCAGTTTCCAAGGAGAAGGTTAAAAAACCACCACCACCACCAATAAAAAAACACCTGTGGGGATTTTGATTGGAGTTGCATTTATCTGCAAGTTCTTTTAGATTTTCTCAGTGTTCAATAATCAACTTCATATTATGGGTTTGTTTGTTTGTTTCTTTCTAAACTTTGTACCTCCCCACTTGCTCCTCTCCCCCTCTCTTTAGCTTACTGCAATGACTAGGACCCTCTGCACATTGTTGATAACTGTTATGATGGAGGGCAACGGGCTCTGTGTTACAGCCTGCAAGGTCCTTCACCATCTGGCTTCCATTACTCTCTGACCTCAACTCCTTAGCCTTTCTCCTTGGCTCAGTCTGCTATTGCCTTGCTGGCCTCCTTGCTGCCCTCTGAACACACCAGGCATATTCCCACCTTAGAATCTTTTCATTTGTTATTTATTGGGCTAGAATGCACTTCTAGCTGCCCACTAGGCTTATTTTTCTTTAGATCTCTTCACTCAAATACCACCTTTTCAGTGAGGGGCTTCTCTAGCTACCTTACTTTTTTTTTTTTTTTAAACAACTTCATTGCAGCGTAGTTTATATATCATACAATTTGCCTATTTCAAGTATACAATTCAGTAATGTTTAGTAGAACTGCCAAATTGTACAACTATCATCATTAATCAGTTTTAGAACATTTTCACCATCCTAATAATACCCCTGTCCCCATTAACTATTTATTCTTGTTTTTATGCCTTATCCTGGGCAACCACTAATCTGTCTTTCTCTGTAGATTTGCCTTTCTGGACATTTTACATTAATGGAATCAAATAGTATATGGTCTCTTTTGTGTTGATGCTTTCACAAAGCAAGGAGGTTCATCCATGATTTAGTATCTTCAATACTTTATTCCCATATATGGCTGAGTAACTTTCCATTGTGTGGATATACCAAATATATTTATCCATTCATCAGGATAATGGATAAACTACTAATTGATGGACTTAGTAGTTCTCTGGTTTTAGCTAGTATGAGTAATTGCCTAGCCACCCTTTCTTAATCCTATCTACCCTTTTTCTTAAAGAATAACCCTTCCTCTACTCTCTAACAATCCTTTCTCTACTCTCTAGCACTCTTTCTGTCCTTTTGTTTTTTTTTTTCCTCCTCCTTACCACTCTCCAACATGCTACATGTTTTTTTCATGTGTCTCGTTTATCTATACTGGAATCTGAGTTCCACAGGGCAGAAATTTTTGTCTCACATTGATCACTGTGGTATCTTTAGGACCTGTAACTGTATCTGTCATATAATAGGCAGTCAATAAACGTTTGCTGAATTAATAAAGACATAAGTGAATAAATTGAACGTTTACTTTGCTCTGTACTAAGAAATATTTAAGGATTTGCTAGGCGCGGTGGCTCATGCTTGTAATCCCAGCACTTTGGGAGGCCAAGGCGGGCTGATCATGAAGTCAGGAGAGAGACCATCCTGTCCAACACGGTGAAATCTCATCTCTACTAAAAATACAAAAATTAGCCGGGTGTGGTGGCGGGCGCCCGTAGTCCCAGCTACCCAGAGGCTGAGGCAGGAGAATCGCTTGAACCTGGGAAGCGGAGGTTGCAGTGAGCCGAGATCGCACTGCTGCACTCCAACCTGGAGACAGAGCGGGACTCCATCTCAAAAAAAAAAAAAGAAAAAAGAAAAAAATAATGATTTAAGTGGTTTGATGTTTCTAGACTATTACTATTTTTAACCTCTCCTGTGATAATTTGGGGTGTTTCAGGGTACCTTCTGGAGATTGCTGATAGTTGTGGTATTTTTTAAAATCATGTCTGTGACTTTCTGAAGACTATTCTAGGAATCCAGGTGAGAGATGGTGTATTGACAGTACTCATGTATTGTCAGTGCTGTGATCACTCTGGCACTGTAGCATGGGGTCTAGGCATGGCATCACATGTAGCATAAACATGACCTATTCTGGAAAGGGAACTTGTCAAAAAGCACAGGACCCAACAGCCTGTCCTGCTGAGGGTGTAAGTCCCTAACTAAAATCCACATTTTGGGGATGTTTTTTCTTGTGTGCGTGTGTATTACTATGTGATAGAAGTCTCATCGTGAGGCGGTATTCAAATAAGATTGATGATTTGTTTTTAACTTAACATTCAATTCTTAGATTTAGTCCATTGGTATATGCAAGTTTATAAAAGTAAATGCAGTTCTAAAACATTATTTTTTATTATTATTACTATATATATATTTTTTTTGAGATGAAGTCTTGCTCTGTCACCAGGCTGGCAAGTACGGTGGTGTGATCTCAGCTCACTGCAACCTCCACCTCCAGGGTTCAAGTGATTCTCCTGCCTCAGCCTCCTGAGTGGTTGGGACTACAGTCACCCACCACCATGCCTGGCTAATTTTTGTATTTTTAGTAGAGACGGGGTTTTACCATGTTGACTAGAATGGCCTCTATCTCTTGACCTTGTGATCCACCCGCCTTGGCCTCCCAAAGTGCTGGGATTACAGGCATGAGCCACCACACTTGGCCAAAACATTAGGCTATATTTTAGCATGCATTAAGAAGTATACTGTTAAAAACTGTTTTTTTCATAGGATGGGACAGGGGCATACTTAACAATGTCTGGAGACATTTTTGTTTGTCGCACTTGAAGGTGTTGCTACTGGCATCTAGTACGTTCTAGTGGCATTTAGCCAGAGATGCTGTTAAACATCCTACAATGCACAGGACAGCCCCACGACAAAGAAATATACAGTCCAAATTGTCATTCGTGCCAAAGTTGAGCAATCTCAATTTAAAGGAATCTGTAATGTATTTGTAAATGAATAGAATACTTATATAAAGTATTATACAAACACATGTATATATATGTTATATATAAGAAATAATATGTAACATATATAGAGAGAATATATATATGTAAGGGAGTGTGTGTGTGTATGTAAGCGTGTGGGGTAAGGAGAGAATATATTCCTCTCTTCTCGTAACAACCCTTCCTCTACTTATATTTCTCTCCTTACCCCACATCCTTACGTATTTGTATGGTAAGTTAAATTTATTTTATGTTTTAATTTTGTTCCTTAGTTAAAAAAAAAAAAAAGTAGAAAATTGACTGTACCTCTCTATTCTGTGATATGTCTTTCTTCTAACTCTAGTTGCTTGTGTTGTGTTCCAGAATATTGTCTATTTTAACACTTTAGAGCTATTCTTTTTCTTTTTTTTTTTTTTTTTTGAGACGGAGTCTAGTTCTGTCACCCAGGCTGGAGTGCAGTGGCGCGATCTCGGCTCACTGCAAGCTCCGCCTTCCGGGTTCACGCCATTCTCCCGCCTCAGCCTCCGAGTAGCTGGGACTACAGGCGCCCGCCACCACGCCCGGCTAGTTTTTTGTATTTTTAGTAGAGACGGGGTTTTACCATGTTAGCCAGGATGGTCTCGATCTCCTGACCTTGTGATCCACCCGCCTCAGCCTCCCAAAGTGCTGGGATTACAGGCTTGAGCCACTGCGCCCGGCCTATTCTTTTTCATAAAGCGTTGTTATTCATATGAAAAAGAGCTATTCTTTTTCATAAAGCGTTGTTAAGGTTTAAGTAGCTTGTTTCTTTGATGCTCAGTTTCTCTATATTTCTCTATGTCTGAATTATCTGTCTTGATTAGTCAACAAACCAAGTTTGAATATTAGATTGGGAAGCATTTAAAGACCTGATGTCATTTTTTTTTTTTTTTCTTTTTCATTTTGCAATATGGAGCATCGAAAGAAATAAAAATGGGGATTTACTTATTTATAATTTGTGTGATTTTTGTCTGTAATACTTTTGTAGTTTATCAAATAGTGATTGTTTTTCTTACTTTTTTTTAACTGTCACCTGTTTTTAATGCAGATAAATACTGAGGAACACGTGGATGCAGCTGATCAGGAGGTTATCTTGTGGGATCATAAGATTCCTGAGGATATCCTAAAGGAAGTAACTACTCCTAAAGAGGTGCCAGCAGAAAGTGTTACTGTCTGGATTGACCCACTTGATGCTACACAGGAATATACAGGTAATTTTTAAACTGAACTCAAAACATTTGATTGACATTTAGTAGTAGAGAACTAGAACCAAGGCATACTTCCTATAGGTGATAGTGGCTCACTGTTTGTTCAGTAAAGAAGCATTTTTAACAGTAGTAGCAAAATGTTTTATATTGGACACCTATAACTGAAGAAACTTCTTTAGCCAGAATTTAATATTTACTCAGGATATTAGGAATTTAAGTTTTAATGCATGTACATCTGACTTTGGAATTCAAAATAGTAAATTTCTAGGTACTCAGAAAGCAAGTAAGTAAGAAAACAGAACTACTGCCCCTCCAGTCCCCTTTTTTACCTAGTCCTAGTCAAATTTTATTTTTGTAGATCCTGTCTCAGGCCTTATTTCTTACCCAGAGGTAGCTAATTTCTGCCTTTCGCTCTTCCTTTGGTTTATATGTTAAAGTTAATCTGTTTATCCTGCTAGATGGTAAGTTCCCTAGGTATGGAGGCTTCTACTTTTTACCTTTGTATTTCAGTGCTTTTGCGCTGAACTTGAACCATAACAATCAATACATAACTTTGGAGAACAGGGAGAAGACACTAGATGTATATATCTAATAGTAACTGAAATTACAACATAGAACTTTTCAGGAATAGATAATAGAAATATGGAATATCAAGGAATTTGTTCATAAAAAGTTCTTCCTAAACTGAGATTGGCCTGTTCTTATAATAACAACATTTAGTGAGCACATCCCTTGTGCAGGGATTATTTTAAGTGTCTAATTTGATTTTTTAAATGAAAAGTTATTTTAATTTATACCTAAAGATGAGTGCTTAGTTGTTGTTTATATTATACGGATAAGGAAGCTGAATTTAAGTAATTTACTCAAAGACATTCGGTTAACAAAATGGTGGGCTAGGAGAATAACCCAGGTAGTCTGCCTTTAGAACCAGAACTCTTTTGTTTGTGTGATTTTTATAATATAAAAGAGTTATGATTCTAAATGCAATTTTTTTTTAACTTTTAAGTTCAGGAGTGTAAGTGCAGGTTTGTTACATAGGGTAAACTTGTGTTGTGAGGGTTTGTTGTACACATTTATTTCAACACCCAAGTATTAAGCCTAGTATCCATCGGTTATGGTTCCTGATTCTCTTCCTCCTCTGACTCTGTATCCTCTGAAAGGCCCCAGTGTGTGTTGTTCTCCTCTATGTGTCCACGTGTTCTCATCATTTAGCTCCCCACATAAAGAACACGTGGTATTTGGTTTTCTGTTCCTGTGTTAGTTTGCTAAGGATAATGGCCTCCAGCTCCATCCATGCCCCTACAAAGGACCTGATCTTGTTCTTTTTTATGGCTGCATAGTATTGCATGGTGTATATGTACCACATTTTTTTTTTTTAACCTGGTCTATCATTGATGGGCATTTAAGATGATTCCATGTCTTTGCTATTGTGGATAGTACTGCAATGAGCATACACATGCACGCGTCTTTGTAATAGAATGATTTATATTCTTTTAGACCAGTAATGGAAATGCTGGGTCAAATAGTATTTCTTTTTTTAGGCCTTTGAGAAATTGCCACACTGTCTTCCACAGTGGCTTAACTAATTTACACTCCCACCAACAGTGTATAAGCATTCCTTTTTCTCCACAACCTCACTCACATCGGTTATTTTTTGACTTTTTAATAATAGCCATTCTGACTGGTGTGAGATGGTATCTTATTGTGAACCAGAACTGTTAGCCACTCCTTTAAACTGGCTCTTGCCCTTGGACTCTGTTTGCTTGAAGGGATTGTTGTTTTGGAAAGATATTTCATGTATATAAATTTTTTAATGAACTAAAGTGTAGTATCGTATCCTGAATTTATGCACATTACTTTGACATTTGTGTGTGTTGTTTTGTTTTTTTTCTCGTAGAGGATCTTCGAAAGTACGTCACTACTATGGTGTGTGTAGCTGTAAATGGTAAACCTGTGTTAGGAGTTATACATAAGCCATTTTCCGAATATACAGGTATGAAATTTGCTAGAGCTTTCAAGAATTATTGTTATGGAACCATTTGTCTCTAGTATTTACTGTCATATACCCAAATTTGTGTCCACTCCTATATTAGTTTCCTAGGGCTACTGTAACAAAAAAAACACAAATCATGTGTCTTAAACAACAGAAGTGTAGTGTCTGACAGTTCTAGAGCCTAGAAATCTAAAATCGTGGTGCTGGCAGAGCCATGTTCTCCCTGAAACTTGTAAGAGACAATATTTTTGTTTTTCTCTTAGCTTCTGGCATTTTGCCAGCATTCTGTGGCGTTCATTGGCTTATAAGTGTTTATTCCAATCTCTGCCTCCATCATCATATGGCATCCTGTGTGTCTGTGTCTCTTCTCCTCTTACAAGCCACACCAGTCATTTTGGATTAAGCACCCACCTTACTCTAGTGTGACTTTATCTTAACCTAGTACATCTACCATGACCATATTTCCAAATAAAGTCAGATTTCGAGGTGCTGGGAGTGAGGATGTCAGCTTATCTTTTTGGGGGACACAGTTTAACCATAACAACACAATGTTAAGGTAAGCATTGAGATGAGATTATACTGGATTAGAGAAGGTTCTTAAGCAAATTAGAGTGTTTTTATAAGAAACAGAAAGGACACAGACATATGTGGGATATGATGATGTGAAGGTGGAGGCAGAGATTGGAGTCATGTCTTTAATAGGCTAAGGACTGCAGTCACCAGAAGCTAGGAGAGAGCCATGGAAGTTATTTTCCCTCAGAGCCTCCAGAAGAAACTAACCCTGCTGACCCCTTGATTTTAGACTTCTGGCCTTTAGAACTATAAGAAAATATATATATTTTTATAAGCCACCAAATTTGTGGTACAGATTAAGTATCCATTATCTGAAATGTTTGGGGACCAGAAGTGTTTCACATTGCAGATTTAATGTATTTGCATATATATAATGAGATATCTTGGAGATGGGACCCAAGTATAAACATGAAATTTATTTATATTTCATATATAGCTTGTTTACATAGCTTGAAGGTAATGTTATACAACAGTTTAAATAATTTTGTGGTTGAAGCAAAGTTCTATCTGTGAACTATCATGAGGTCCAGTAGGTAATTTTCCACTTGTGACATCATGTCAGTGCTTGTCCTGGATTTTAGAGCATTTCAGATTTTGGAATTTTGGATTAGGAATTCTCAACCTGTAGTTTTTTATGGCAGCTTTAGGATATGGACACAATGGGGGGCATCCTATACTACCATCATTTACTGCAGTCATCCCCATTGTGTCTTAGGGGGCGTGACTGATAATTAACATAAAAAGGCTGTCTGTGAAGTGGGGAGAAGCAGAAAGACAAAGTTAATTTTTGTTTACTCTAAAATTATGTATTTGCTTTGCTGTGTAACTGTGAATCCCAAATCCTGGCTGCTCTGAGATTGGCTAAACATCTATTTGAGTGTTGGCTTTGTGTTTCAAAATCAAGTCCACTTTATGCTATCTGACCTTTTTTCTTCTTTTCATAATTCAAATAATTTTTAAAGTTGATGGTTTGATAAGCTACAAAAGATTTATGCCATTACTATGACAATGTACTGTAAGATTAATTATATAGTTGCTTTATGGCTTATGGATTACCTTCACATATTTTTCTTAATCCTTACTGAATTAGTTGGAATACACACTAGGCTGTTAATTTAGACTACTGTAATGTACACCAAAATATATGAGGTTGAATACAACCTCTTTAACAGATAGTATATAAGCAGCCCATGACTGCCAGGGTGGTTCCCTGGTGCCAGGCATTCAGTTCTCTCTCTATTATTGTTGCTTTGCTGTTGTCTTCCTCTGTATGACTGAGGATGGCTCACCACTTCGGCCATATTTCACCCATGGAAAGGGTAAAAAGGGAGACATAGAGGACATTTCCCATTAAGGGTTTGACTTGTGAAGTCAAACATGCATCTCTTCACCTCACATCCTATTGATCAAAACCTGTCTAGAACCCAGTCGCAAAGAAGGCAAAAAAATGTAGTCCTTATTTTCAATGGCCATCCAAACTAAAATTTAGGGATTCTGTCTTTCAAGGAAAACAGGGAAAGTAGATGTTGGAGTACAGCGTAGTACTGCTACACAGAGAGAGGGGCACAGTTACTAAAATCAGTACTCTCACTTAACAAATGAGGAAATGAGACTCAAAAATTTAATGCCTTCCTCAAGGTCATTCATGTAAATTAGTGGTAGAATCAACCATAGAAATTTTATTCAAATCAGTATTACACGACTTTCAAAATAACACCATAATTTCTAATATTTATATAGTGTTTAACAATTTGCAGTATACTTAATGTTATCTTATTTGAACCTTTCAGTAACTATGTGACAAGGAAAGACATTATCCTTTTTTATAGATGAAAAAATGGACTTAGGAACTCCTATCATGAAAACCATAAGTTCAAAATGTTACTATAAGAACTAACCACTCCTTAATAGTATCTTACAATTATTTTGTATTTTCACAGTTTATGAAGTGCATTGACATAAGCTTTTTCAATCTTCGGTAACTCTGGAAGGAATATAAAATGGAAATTACGGTGACCTTTTTTAATTAAAAAAAAAGGCATATAAAAGTTAAATATAGAGCTTAAGTCTTTGAATCCCTCTTGTTCTTTTGACACTCTCCCTTATTATTTCACTATATCAGTTAGGATGGCATTTAGCTACACACAATGTAAATCTGATTGCAGTGGTTCAACAAGGGTTTCTTTTTCTCAACTAACAAGAAGGCCAAAGCATAGGTGTGCTTTAGTGACTCCATAATATGTTTAAGGATCTGAGTCCTCTCTTTTTACTTTTTTTCTTAGAATGTAGCTTTTTGTTTGCATGTTCACAAAGGTGGCTCCTCTCATTTACCATGGTTCTCTGTTCTAGGCAGGAAGAAGGGAGAAAGAAGAGAGACTAAAGGTCTACCCTATATTCTTTGTATTAGGAAAAAAATATCTTGAAGTCCTATCCATTAAACCTCTGCTTCATTTTATTGGCCGAATGTCACATGACACCCTTAGCTGCAAACAGAGCCTGCTATTCCAAAGAGAATTGGAAGCTAAATAAAGGAAATGAAGAGAAAATTGATATTAGATTGGCAAATAGATTCACATTCTCTGGGCATTGATTTTCACATCTGTAGGTATTAGGGGGAAGAATAGGGATAATAAAATTCTCCTTTTTAGAAACTTTTATTTAATAAGAATATATATTCCTCTCTTGTCTGTAGGCTTACCCTCCTTAAAGAAGCCAAACGTCCCTAACTTAGCAAAAAGTGGTTTCTAAAAATGTCTTTTTAAATTAGTAATATAATACCCCATTCTTCTGTAATGCAGCTAACTTGCCCAGTGTGCTGGAACACAAAGGTGCTTGCTAGTCTGCAAACTCTCTTAACATAGTAAGTTCAGAATTATGTTGGGTTGACCTTCCATTCCCACACTGAATGTTTGCTTGCCTTGTGCCCTTCTCTTGGAATGTTATTTTCAGATCCAGACGGTATGTTGATGTTGGAGGAATACCAGTTAAGTATTGGGTATGTTTACCAGAATTTAGCTACACTTGTCTATAGTGGGAAGTAGATATTACTGTTGTTGGCAGTAGTTGGAGCAAAGCTTATAAAAATTTTTATCAGACTTAATTAGAATTAATTCCTTGAGTTTGAAATTCTTAGAATCAAGAGATGCTTGAATAGTATTTTAATGAAGTAATATATAAATGTATAAGTAAGTGTAGTACAGTAGACCCATGAACAGTGCAGGGGTTGGGGCACTGATGGTTGAAAATCTGTGTATAACTTTTGACTCCTTAAAAACTTAACTGCGAATAGCCTTCTTTTGACCAGAAATCTTAATGAATAACATAGTTGATTAACACATATTTTGTATATTTATTATGTACTGTATTCTTACAATAAAGTACGTAGAGGAAAGAAAATGTTACTGAGAAAATCGTAAGGGCAAATATATGACTGAATAAGAGGGAAATGGCTTATAAAGATCTTCATCCTCTTTGTCTTCACATTGAATAGGCAGAGGAGGAGGAGGAGAAAGAGAAAGGATTATTAGTCTTGTCTCGGGTGGAGGAGGTGTAAGGAGAGGCAGGATATACTTGATGTAACTTTGTGAAAATATGTTGTAATGTCTGTTTGACTTTTTTACTTTTCATTTCTCTAAAAATTTTACTGTGTGGTACCAATCCTTCCTTATTTGCTTTAGTTTCAGTGACTGTATCATAAAATGGTCCATGTCATAAAAGAAGTCAAAAGCAGTTTTGAATAATGAGAACCTTTCTTCCAAATTGTCTAATATCAATTTATTTTCTGGCACTGCTGCTTCTACATATTCTTTCTCATCATCTAGCCCTGGTTTGAAGCACTCATCTCCATCAAGTCATCTTCTGTTAATTCCTCTGGTGTGGTGTCTATTTACTCTTGAATGTCTCCAAGATCCTTATTTTGAAACCCTTTACCTCCCACCTTTTAAAAATAATATCCGCACTCTTTCATGATTTTCTTGATTGCCTCTGTTGTAAATCTTGTGGAGACATGCACAACATCTGGGCAGTTTTTTCCAGCAGGAATTTACTATTTTCGGCTTGATGAATTCATGGGTTTTCTATAACAGTGGCATCTTTAGTGGTGTAATCCTTCCAGACTTTGAATGATCTTCTGTATCAGGGTTCACTACTATTAGTATTAGCAGTCCTTTCCATAGAGTACTTTGTATAATGAGCCTTAAAGGTCCTTATGACCTCCTGCTCTAGAGGCTGGATTAGAGACATAGTATTTGGGGGCAAGTAGACCACTTGATGCCTTTATTGCTGAACTCATGGGGTTCTGGGTAACCAGGGGTATTGTCCAATACCCAAAGAACTTTAAAAGGCAGTCCCTTACTGGCAAGGTACTTTCAGACTTCAGGGTCAAAGCATTAGTGGACTCAATCCAGAAAAAGGATTCTTGTTGTCCA